ATTGGGGCAGCTCTGTGAGGTCTCCCCTGCGATTGGGGCAGCGCTGTGAGGTTTCCCCTGTGGTTGGGGTAGCGCTGTGAGGTTTCCCCTGTGGTTGCATTTTATTTTCCGCAGGGGCCTCCTGGAGGTGAAACCGTGGTTGAGGGGAGGTGGTCTGCACCTTGCAGAGCTGCAGCCCTGGGGGACGGGGTCAGGGATGGCAGCAGATTTCGGAGCTCGGCCTGGGTCTCATCAGCCTGTTCCAGGAAGGAACTGAACAGGGTTGGAGAGAATTGAACAGGGAAGCACAGAAGGCCCAATGGGACAGAGGAGGGAGGGAGGCAGCCAGGAGCCAGCCCGGAGCATCTGGTGAGGGTCCTGAGGAAGTGCTCCCACCCGGACCTGTGCCTTCACCCAAAAAAGCTGGGACAGAGCACGGGCTCCTGTGCTCCTGCCCTTGGTTCCTGTGCTTTCTGCGAGGAGAAGTCAGCCCAGGGCCAGTGTGGCTTTGAGCTCAAGAGTTCCTTTGGCCACAGTTTCATTACTGACTTTTCTGTTTAGGTGCCTATTCAAGGCAGCTGGCGAGAAATCCAGGATGAAATGAAAACTCACTCACTTTTAAAAAGAAATTAAATGCTACCAATGAGTGTGTGTGTGTGTGTGTGTGTGTGTGTGTGTGTGTTTAAAATAGACATGGGCCGTCCTGGATAAACATCACTCGTGGTTGAGGAAAGGCTCTGGGTCTAAAGGAACGCGTTCGGGTGCCAGACGGAGGCAGTGGCTGGGGAACGGGGGAAAGGCTGGTTTCTCACGCTGGATTGCTGAAAGTCGGTGATGAGTGCGTCCATGGGCGTCTGTGGCTCCCCGTGCCAGTTGGTGCCTGGCACGATTTGCAGGTGTCTCATTTCCAGCCCAGGCACAGGCCATGCCCACCTGCAGTTGTTCGCGTAGCAGCGGTCTTGGACATTCGCAAGTATTTGTTGGATACAAGAACGAATGAATCCTAAATCCTGAGTGTTTCTCTCAAACGATTCTGCCCTTTCAGCCTTGGCACCTCCCAACTTTTCCTCCTGGCCTCCTCTAACCATCCTCCTCCTCCAGAGCCTCCTTCCTTCCACCTGTCACAGCACGGGAGAGTCCACGGTGCAGCCCGCGCACGCCAGCCTCTTGCTGAAAGCCCGTGGAGAGCCAGCTGCTTGTGGGCCATGGGACCCCACTTCTCCCGCACCCGGAAGGAGGCCAGGTTCATGTTTCCGTCTGCTGCTTCTCACTCCCACGGACGCTGCTGGTGGGGGCTCCGCCTGTGCAGCCGGGGCTGGCTGTGGAGAAGGCTGAGCTGACCAGCACTGGATGGGAATTGGTCCAGGTAGGCACAGGCCAGCCCAGGGCAGTCAGGACGGCACAGCCACGGCATTTCATTCTGGAGCTGATGTTTGACGTTTCAGGGAGGGGACTTATGCTTCCTGCCTGACTTGGTTTGAGGCTTGGGCTAGAGGCTTCCAGGGCGCACCTGTGGGGCCTCAAACACCAGCAAAGCCAAGCTTCGGACGCCAGGGCCTTGAAGGAGGAGCGGCGTCTTGGGTAGTGGCAGCGTCGGACTGGAGCAGATCCTGGGGCCCCTCGGGCTCTCCAATTCCATCACTGCACGCCAGCAAACGGCAGGCAGGTGAGCAGTTCCGTGTTTACCCGAAAGAAGCTTTTCCTTTATGCTTTGCTCCCAAATTTTATTTCTTGGCATTTTCAGTTTCAAGAGCCAGTAAATCCACTTGGAGCGAGACAGAAGGCTGTGTGCTGCTGGGGTTCCTGACTGAGACAGGCCCTGAAGCCCCGGCACGTCCTACGGTGGCATCACAAAGGTCACCAGCGGCTGCCGGGGTGGCTTTCTGACCTCTTCAGTGCTGCCCCAGGGAGCCCCAGAGTTATCTGCTGTGGGCACGGTCGTGGGTGCCCCGTGGTGGGGCGGGATGGGAGTCCCCGAGGCTGGGTGATGGCTAACAACGGCTTTGGAAAGCAGGTTTGGGCAGTCCCTGGGCAGGCAGAGGGCAGTGGGATTCAGGTCAGAATAACATGACTGGCATGGTTAATTTTATGTGTCCGCTTACCGGAGCACAGGCGCCCAGATTAGACATCACCCCTGCTGTGTTTCTGAGATAGGTTCTGGAAGGGACTGGCGTTGGAATCTGTGGTCTGAGAAAGCAGACGGCTCTTCCCGACGTGGTGGGCCCTGCCCCACTCTTTGAGGGCCCCGGCAGAGCAAGAAGTGGAGGAAAAATGACTTTGCTCCTCTTTTCCTGCCTCTCTCTGCTTGAGCTGGGCCCTCTCATCACCCCTTCGCCTGCCCTCAGACCGGGACTGCCCCGCCAGCTCTCCGGGGACTCTGGTGTGCAGACGGCAGGCCCTGGGACTCCTCAGCCTAATTCCATGACCAATTCCACAGAATAGAGATGCTTTTACACATCCATGCACAGACTAGAGGCGCGTCTAAAACCGTCTACACACGGGGATCCGCTCTCCAGTTCACATCTACACCAAATCTATAGTGTGTCTATATCTAACTTATACAGGGATAGCTACACCTAAAGCTATTCTATACCTGCATGTACCTTTATATCTATATTTTTATATCCACACCTGTACGTATGTCTAAAACTATATCCATATCCATAATCAATAAGTCTAAATCGATAAAACTATATCTGTCTACATATTTATCTATGTCTAATCTATGTAAATCTATATGTGTATCTATACCTAAATCAATATCTATATCCATATATATTTAAATCAACCTCCACAGCTAAATCAATATAACTACCTCTGCAAACTGTCTCTACGGCGGTCTCTGTCTAATCTACAACCATTTCTATCCCCACATCTGCATCTCTGATTGCTTCCGTTTCTCTGGAGGCTAGGCTCAGCCTGGCCGGGGCTGAAGTTCTCAGGGACCATGGAGTGTGGGCTCCTCTCACGGCCACGCCTCTGCTTCCTTGTCTGCGAGTCACCGTGAGGACGGAAGGAGAAGCCGTGGCACCCACGTCTTCGTCTCTCAGACCCGGGCCCTGGTGCACATCCTCCCTGGAACCTCGGGCCTACATCCGGGGCTCTTATGAGGGGCTGTAAACCTGGCTCAGCCGCAGCTCCTGGGTCACTCCTGGCCCTCAGCACCCGACCGCCTGTCCCCCGGGGGGGCCTCTGCATCTCTCTCAGTGTCCGTCCTTCCTTGTGGAGGCAGACGTGGGGTTCACTCCATCATTCTGAAAGTGGAGGGACAGCCGTGTCCACCAACGTTTTAGGGTGTCCTGTGCAGCAGTGACAGCGCTGGGGCGTCCAGGGCCGTGCTGGGTCCTGCTGGCCTGCGCCCGTCATACCGCGACAGCGCGGATGGCTGCTTGTGTGGCAGCAGGGCTCTCTCAACATGGACACGTGCGGTCTCCGCAGAACAACATCAGGGATGCAGAAAGGTGGGGTCATGCCCAGCGTCCTAATTTTCCGTGGAAGGCTGTGCAGGGGCAGCAGTGTATTTATAAGGGTGCTGGTGGTGGGGGCAGCCTGCACAGAAGCCAGCGTCCCCTGCTGTTCACCTCCCGGCTCCTGAGATGCTCTGGGGGCCCCTTCCCTCTCTCAGCCCCTTCCTTAGAAAGAGAAGGTCACTGTTCACCTTTGTCCACCATCAGGCTCCACCAGCAGCCTGGTCCTGTGCCTTCTGATGGCCTGGGTCCTGCCAGAACAGCCAGGGAGGTGCAGGGCAGGTTGGAGAGGAACCTCCTCGGAGGCAGCCAGCTGCTCGAGGGGCTGCAAGGCTCAGTGGGAAGACCAGGGCTCTGCGGTGGACACTGACTTCACATCGGCAGGCAGGAGCCCGGCGGGGGCAGGGCAGGACGGGGACAGCGCTGAGCAAGCATCGCACCCACCACACAAAACCAGAAGGCAACGTGGAGCTCAGAGTTGCCCTGAGCACGAGCACCACACGAGTGCTGGTCCGGGCCGGGCTCGGGGGCTCTTTCAACACTTTTCAGGGGGCAGGACCCGGAGAGGCAGACAGACTGTGTCCAGGCAGGGACATTCCTGAGCAGAGAGGTGGCACTGGGAGGGAACATTTGCTTCAGGGTTTACAGAAAAGAATCCTTGAGACGTAGGAAATAGATGAATGTCTGTTGTAATCGCTCTCAGGAAAAAAACTAAAACAAGAGGCTTGAAACGAAACACTGGAAAATAGTTTGTGCAGCTCCCGCGCCTGTGTATGAACTGCCTGTAAAGCTGTATTCTGAAGATTAAAGGTGGCACTGTGGACCCAGTGCCTGCCACGAGCTGAACTGGGTTTCCCAAATTCTTCTGTGGAAGCCCCAGCCACTGCTGGCCTCAGAGCGAGGCTGGATCTGGGGATGGAGCATTTGAGGAGGTAACTGTGGTGCCACGTGGATGCCACCGTGGGCCGTGGTCCCAGGCAGCTGTGTCTTCATGAGACGAGGCGATGAGGCCACGGACAGATAACGGGACCCCCCGGGAGGACACGGGGAGAAGTGGTGTCCGCAGCCACGGACGAGGCCTCAGGAGGAGCCAGCCCTGCCCTCACCATGACCTTGAATTCCAGCCTCCGGGACTCTGAGAATGAATCTCTCGTCAAGGGCTTAGTCTGCAGGACTTTGTGGCATCCCAGGAAAGGGATACGGTTCCGTTCACCACAGTGTTTGAAAGAAAACACATCTGCAGGCAGAGCTTCCTCTGTGATGACATCGACACCTGATGCTATGTTTGTATCCACATCTGAACTTACATAGGGACAGCTACTCCCAAAGCTACATCTATTATGTAAACGTATATCTATATATCTGCATCTGTTCCTGGATCTGAAGCTAAGTCTCTATCCATAATCAGTATTGATATCTAAATCTAAGTCTGTGAGTCTCGGTGGAGACAAGCAGCCCTAGGCCCTGTGTATTCACCTCTCAGACATAGGCCTGGTGCACAACATGATCTTGGGCTCCAGTGCTGCTGGCTCAGACTGGTGCAGGCATTCAGAGGGGCCGGGAGGAAGAGTGGAAGTGGGTAAGTCGTCTCAGTAGGAGGGGTGCGCCTGACATGGGGGGGTGG